TTTGCATTATCGGCAAGTGCTCTTTTAAGCTGCATGAAGAGGCACCCATTTTATGTAGTTCCAACTTGTATATTTTACATAGCGTAATAAGAATGACTGTGATCAATGCTTACGTTTTTTGAGCTTATAAAATGGTTGTAAAGAGTGGACTGGAGAGTAGTCATCTTGCAACAAACTACTTCAATTATCTGCAAAACATCCGGCATCAAGATTTTGATGTATTTCTGGCTTCAAAATAATGAAAGCAGCAAAAGCAAGAACTAATAGCTGAGAAAAGAGGACACTTTCACACAGATACTTATTCCATCCGCATTTTCACCAGATGATTATTTCACTGCTAAAACTACATGTACTACTCAGTCTGACGATTCAACACATGAAGAAGTATTAAAGCAAGTTCTATTGACGCAGACCATTTGTTTAACACCGTAATATTCAGATGCAGAAGGAAAAGCACCTTCGGTGGTAAGTGATTTGAGAGCAATGCATTCGTTCTCCTCAAAATAAACTGTAAACAAAAAGAGATCTTCATAAGTTATAGCATTAAAATATAAGCGATGATTCTAGAAGGTCAGTAATGATGCTCTTTGTTGATAATAGTACCAAAATCATCTAAGCAAATTACATTTCTTCTAAGATATATATCTAGATGATGATGAAATCTTACATACACAGTGCTAAGAAGAATTACCTGATTGACTTTTGAACTCAGTTCTGCGGAGCGGTCAGCAGCTAAGTTTTTCTCTTCCTCAGTGGCTGTAGGTTCTCTTCCACATATAATAGGTGCCTTATGTTTCATATATCAAAAGAAGGTAGTGTAAGATAAAAGAAATAAGTCAAATACCATATAGTCGCATAAACAAATTCTCTCATCCCAAAACTATTTCTAAAAGAAGCTAACAATTTAATGGAATCCAAGGCCATGAAGCAGCTATACTGGAAACGAAACATAATAAATGTAGCAGCAACGTATACGATACAAAGTTTCTACGCTAATCCTACATTTTCAGGCCAACAATCGCCAAGAAATATTGATCTAAAGTCTAAATACAGTTAGAGATGTCTAAATACAGTTAGAGATGACAGAATGAAAAATGATCGAATCAGCATAAAAAAAGAGGATAAAAATTTAAAGTCTGTCACCTCATAATAATGGCGAAAATGCGCAGCATCGCCTAAACTTCCTGGATTTGTAAAGTTGACCATGGCAAAAAACTCTTCCAAGTCATTCTGGAAACATTCAGATGCAGAAGAATCAGCATGAGTGAAAAAAAAGGAGTGAAAGCTTATTGGCCAATGATTTAACAGAGAAATCAGTGGAAATTTCCATTACCTGCATGGGAGTTCCAGACAACAAAACTCGCCGCTTGCATGTCAATGAAGCCAAAGCCTGTATCCGAGTTTGATGATTAGAAAATATATTAATCTGGAAGGATATGAAATAAGTATGTATTTGTATGCTACCCTGTTAGTTAGCGTCTGGTCATTTTTCAACCTATGAGCCTCATCGCAAATCAGAAGATCACAGGATTCACTCTGGCCGAACTTTGAAGAGTGCATTCGGAACGTCTCGTAAGAAATGATAAGTACCTGTTAACATTAACCAAGCGATAAGTGCATTTTTCAGAGTCAGCTAAAATATTTGCAAAGCCATACCTGCAAAGCGCTTCGTGGTCGAGTGAAACTATCTATTCCAGACAAAACATCATCTCTGGTGCTTTCACATAGGGCTATGAGCTGAATCCTGTCTCCAACCCATTTCTTAATTTCAGCTTCCCAGTTACTAACAAGACTCGTTGGTGTAACAATAATGGCCTTTTTAACCATAGGCGTCCCATCAAACCCTTGGTATAGAAGTGTGTGTAGTAAAGTGATTGACTGCAACGTCTTCCCCAAACTGTCAAACCAATTTAGAAGGTTACAGAGGAAATTATACAGTATCCAGATCACATATTACGCAACGGAGAAGCTAGATTTTACCCCATATCGTCGGCCAGAATGCAACCATTGATATTTGCCGAACCATGTAATCCTGAAACACAATCGAACATGAACTGGACTCCCTCTCTGCAGTCTCAGAGAGAAACCATCTCACCATGTAAGTCAAGTTGTATATATCATCCATAATGCCAAGTATAGATAATTTCACACTCGTTGGATTAGTATTTCAACAAAGACTGCAAGCAAGTATTGCGATCCTTAAAGATAGAAATGAAATACCTTTGATGAGGGCGAAGAAATCGAACAAGCAATGGATGCACCGAAATTGTTGAAACATTGCTCACTCCATCATGAGATTCTTCAGGTTGCCACAATACCAAGGGATCAATATCAGGAGGAAGACTAACAACTTCCTCTTCTTCATCTTTCTCGATATTGGTTGATGCGGTCAGCGTAGTAGGTAGAGCAACCACAACCGGATCTGTCTTACCCCAAGGGACAAATCGTTTGCGAGCGGAAAGGCGACGAGATAGTTGATCGGTGGTATCATAACCATGAGAACACGGAGGCTTGAAGGGCTTCCTACAAACCGCCGCTCCTTCTGAAACTGAAAGCACACGAGGGAGGAGTGGCTGCCGTTGCACCACCAGATTGCCCCTGTCAATAGAAGATTCAACTCCATTTTCATACTATACAAAGAAATGCGACTAACTATCAAACGTTACAGAAATCGAAGGGAACACGAGACGCGAAATGTCCTCTAGAATCCCCAAATAATGTGCGAATCAGGTTAAATCTCAAATTGAAGTCGGGGAACTTCAATTACGCACCTCAAAAGATCATCTACGTTCTTCGATTTCCGATCGGCGTCGGATGGAGGAGAAACGGCGGCAATATCTTCGCGCTCAGGGTTTTCCTCGGAATCTTCGTTTTCTCCTTCCGAATGTTGAGACTCTTCCTCGTAACTGTCACTGGACTCTTCGGATTCCGAAGACGAAATGACGTCTTCATCTTCTTCTTCCATTCTCGACGGTAGCTTGACGCACTGAAAAGCCCAGAGCTCCGATTTTGACGATTCCTAAAATTCTTTTGGCGGCAAGAAAGAAATTAAGCCCAAAAAAAAAACCAAATAATTTTGAAATAAAGAACCCTGTGAAAAATGTCCAATATATCCTTTTTGCGAGTTCGTTCTTGGTACGCTTCCTTCTCATCAGTTTCATTTCATGGACGTGTAATTTTTTTATTCTCACGATAAATAAATAAAAAACCGTAATTTTTTATTCGTCGAGGTTGATTACTTGACCCAATTTCATGGCAGCACCTGCAAACTTCTCGTCTCGATGTTCCGATTATACCCCAATTGCTCTCTACCCTCACTCACACCTCTCGTTATTCTTCCCCGCCTTCCTTCTCGCTCCTTCCGTTGCCGCGCCACCGCCGATATCCCCCTTGGCGACGGACTACGGATACCCCGGGAAGCGGATTCCACCTCTGACTCGGCGAAACCTCGAGATGTCTCAGTCGCTGCCGGCGGGAACGGTGAAGCCGGTAAGTGGAGGAAGAGGAGGTTGCTATGGTCGAAAAGTGGGCAGAGTTACTTGGTAGACGACGGCGACGCGCTGCCTCTCCCTATGACTTATCCCGATACATCCCCTGTGTCGCCGGCTGAGATTGACCGGAGACTGCAATGTGATCCTGTAGTTGAGGTTCGTGGCTAGCTCCAGCTCCAATTTACTGCCTTGATGATTGGATAAGTCTCGGTATTTAATCAGTGGAACATTTGAATTTGCTTTAGCTGACTTTTGCGAACCAAACACTATGCACACATATATGAGTCGCTCCTTTAATTTTCACGATTGCCTTCTTTCTTATGGAGCGATAGGCTCAGATTCTTGAAGGCGAATGATTTTTCTGAAATGTTATTTGGTGATAGTGGGATAAGATTAGGAAAAATGGTGCTAAAGTTTGACCTGGACTATCTTAATTTGGATAGATATGCCGCACTCGGTTTGTCCAATATGCAGTGGTATAATGTGCTTAGAAGTTGTCATGAATGGTGCAGCTTTAGCTTTGATATGCCTTGGGAATGTTTTCTCTGATCATAATACATATACCGGATCAATTATCAGGATTGCAAGGAAGTGGTTTACGAATGGACTGGGAAATGTAGAAGTTGCCAAGGATCTGGATCTGTCAGCTATTACAAGAAAAGGGGCAAAGAGGTTATATGCAAATGCATACCCTGCCAAGGAATAGGTTAGTTTCTGATTGTCGTTTTTTCCCCTCCCATTCACCTTCCTGAGAATCTTTTTGGAAAAGTAACCCACTCTCTGTGTATTGCACATCAAACTATTCTTGACTTAAAGAGGTTTAAACTAATTGCAGGATATGTGCAGAAGATAACATCTCGAACGGACATTGATTTGATGGAAGATTTGGATAAAGAAACGTCGTGACCTTGATTTTGCCCATTTATGCATGTTTGTGCATGTGAGCTTGGGTATGATCTTGAAGTTGATTCGTTACATGTAGAGAACCACAAAACAGAAGAGAGATAGCTACTTCATTGGGATGTTTGGCCCAAACAAGCTGATTGGAGGTATAGACAGAGAAACTACTGATTCTTGCGCAGATAATGGCTTCTTCTTTTACCAATACTCCCCAATTAGGCGATTACTGTTTTATATGTATCAGATCTTGAGCCACCATAGACTGCAGGGATTCCTTTTTTATGTTATTGTTTAGGTTGTATCAATTTTCCACACAGAGCAAATAAAGCGGTAACACAATCCATTTCAATTATCTTCATGTGTTTTATCTCGTAGTTCTAGTTACTCTTGAGGTCCAATAGGTGGTTCAATAACATGAACTGTTGATGTTCATGTTTTCCATGAATTGAAAGGAATTAATACAGTCATCTAGAAGAAATCATGCAAAACTAGAACTGCCTTGGGACCCTTCTTCCATGAAATCTGTGTACTTCAATTTTCGAGGCCAAGAAAAATGACCTTGTAGTTTACATATGCCCTGACTTATCATTAATGAGCACTTGCATCTGATCAACTGTTAGCAACTCTAACTTGGGGTTGGGGGGTCTTATTTGTGCTTGCCATGTTCTCAGGAGACGCCCTACAACAAGTATTGAAATGTTTTGACATCAAAATGCCAATGACACAAATTCTGCTGTTTCTTTTTCTAAGTATCAACTTGATAATGATCCTTACTGAATAGTTAAGCCTTTTTTCTGGAGTAGTGCAGTAGGAATTGTGCCTTGAAGCTTGTTGTTCTTGATGGACCTGCAGATTCACACTATTAACATCACCAAAGATAACCTGATGCTAGTTTTAATGATGGTGATGCAATCCATTAAAGGTCAAAAATCTGAGTTTATCTTATAAACTATAGTGAACACTTTCAGTTCTAGTCATGTTATCAGATTCGTATGCTTAGACTTGCTTTATAAGCAGAAAGGAGGAGAGAAATATGATTACAGTATGCGGAGATTAGGAAGTTGCGCAAGTGACTCAGGAATCGCTCCGGTGAACTGATTGTCCTCTAAATGTCTGCCTCAAAACCCAAAAGAAAACGGTAAGTCCACTAATCTAAATATTTTGCACAATAGTTGTAGAAGTTTAGTTACAAGAAGGCATACAGAGTTTCTAATCTCGTCATTGGACTCAAATCTGGGATCGGTCCTGTGAGCTTGTTCTTCGCTAACCATCTGAAGTTGCAGCTGAATCTTAGTTTACACAAAGAAACTCAAACCTTGACAACTTTTAGGATGCAAAGTCCTTACAGATCTTTAAGGGCAGTCATCTTGTTTATGCTTGGTGATAGAGAACCCGCTATTCCACGATTTGTCAGATTTCTAGCACAAAAACCAACATTCTAGATTATGGTTCTTCTTGATTTAGACTTAAACTAGTTTACAGTTACAGAAGCTTTGAGGTTTTTTTTTACTTACAGAGAAATTACTCTGGTGATTTTTTCTTTGGAGCAAGTTACGCCAGTCCACGAGTTAGCAAGAGGAAGGCATGGATCGCCGGACCAATCCACCGGAGGCTCCTTGATGCTCTCTAACAGATCTTCCATTGCAGTTACTGCACAAGAATGTGTTTTTTTTTAATCACAGAATAGACAAAAAGCAATGAAGCAGAAGAAAACATTTACATTACCATCGCTAAAATTAGTGCTTCCCCCAAGAGGAATAACCTGAAACACTTCTCCAGCATTAATCACTCCTCCCATGGGCGATTCCTTGGCAGGAGTCAGTGTGATCTGAGTCTGTCCTGACAATGGCCACTGACCAGAGTAAACCATAACCCCATTGGTACTCACATTGAGGTTTCTTGAAAAGGAAACTCCATTGATGGTAACACCAAAAGCTCTCCAGCTCGTAGGGCTTGGACTCCGATCATCCTGAAAATACAGAGCTACATAGTACTTTGTAGCCGGAAGAGGAAACGGCGGCCATAGAAGCTGTAGAGGCTTCCCTTTACTCGCCGTGAACCCTTCCACAAAGGCTTTCGCCGGTGGAATGTTCCAGAAGTCCGACGGGTTAACACTGCTTCGAGAAGTCACCGGCGGATACTTCTTGTCTGAAAACGGTTGCCACAGACGGTTATACTTGTCGTCTGGATAACTAAAACATACCATCACAAGTCGTCAGGAAATGTCAGACCATCAAACTATGGAATATAATAAAAACAGCTTACCTGATCATCTCTCCGTCTCCTCCAAAGCTGTTCCTAGCGATGAGGCTGAGCTTGTAAGACGCGAGGTCTGTTGAATTGTACATTGTATCTTCAAGAGATTGGACATCTAAAGCAGATATGAAAGGCGATGATAAGGTGTTTGCGTTCTTGGCAAGGCAAACACTTAGTCTCTTGCCAGGAACACCAACGATGATCTCGTAGTAAGAGCTCTGGCCCTTGGCGTAATCCTCTGATGTATTCACAACGCTCCATTTGGTGCCTCCGACGATCTGGTCGAAGACAGGTGGGGTTTTCTTGCCGTCGAAATTACCGTAGTAGTAAGTGGTTCGGATTAGGTACTTGGAGTTTTGTGCGACGGGGAAGTTGTAACAGTGTTTTCGAGATGACTTGTCCGGGAAGTAACGCAGCGTGGAGAGGATTGGAAGAAGGTCTTTTTGCTTTATAGTTGTCGTGTTGCCTACGGCGATGAATTCTTTGTCCGGTGTGTAGTTTATCTCGTTGAGTTCCGTTGGAGAAGTTGATCCACAGTTTAAATAGAAACCTTCCATATGTGAAATGAAACGGCAACGTATTAGGGTATCTATAACAGTGTCTAGCATGAGCGACGTTTTAGAGGCATCTATGATATGTTTCAGTATTCGATTAGAAATGAGAAGGAAAAGATAATTAGATCACGAACGCATGCAATTACCTCGGGGAGGAGGGAGAGCTTGAGAAACAGAGAACCTTAACAATAAGAAGAAGACGAAGAAAGGAGGCATTGTGACGTTTTTGTTGAAGAAGCAGAAATTAACAAATCGATCAGACTCTTTCCATTGTCTTTGTCTCTTTGATGGAGATTACAGAGATTGGAATCTTCTTAGCAAAAAAGAAAAGAAAAAAAAAAAAAAAAAGAGATCGAAGGGAATGCTTCAAGGCAGAGAAAACACCGTTGATATTTGTTAAATTTTCTTATTTTAGAATCAATACGATCTTTGAGTCCCCCTGATTGAGATAAAATATATATAGGCAAAAGAAATAAAAAAAAAGAGGTGGCAAAATCAGCTACATGCAATCTCTCTCTTTATTTTATGTTGGTGTGTGTTTTTCTTAATCTCCACCATAATGAAAAGTTGAAGTTGAGCTGACAAAAAAAAACTATTATAGTTTTGATCAAATGGTCCTTGTGGTACTCTGATACAGAGAGAATCAATGCGTGTCTTTGAATGGAAAAACTTATTTGTTTGGTAGAGCTGAAACGAAAACGCAACAAGTCATAATATCATTGCTCGGAATTGATCTTCCTTATGAGTGCGATGATTATGCTAATTTGTGTCTTTCCGTTGTTAGAGAAGAGAAAACTTTTTCGGTGTTGTTGCAGCTTCATGTTACATCAAAGACTGAGAGATATGGGTGACTAAGAAGATTGATGAGAGAAGTGTGGTGGTGACTTGGAAACATAGTTTAAAACTGATATGCGTTGACACAGTTTTAAAGATGTACAGAGAGAGACATAGATTTGGTCGAATAAATGACACTAGCCAAGGAACACTACATTAGCAGCTAAACATAGACATTGTTTTATCCTATATTCCCCTGAACAAACTACATGATGTACAACACATTCTGCCTCCAACCTGAGAGCGACCAAAACTGAGTTATGGTTTCTGAAATAGCTGAGTGATATCTTCTTTCTAGATCCACCTTCCCCCCCATGAGATCGGTTCCATTGTTGAAGCCCTGGCATGTTCACCGACTCTGACGAGATGCTCACGCACACCTGATTCAACACCAAGGACAACAATTACTCTTCTCTGAGCCTGAGTCTGATATGAACAAGAAAAAAAAAGTAATAATAATAATACAGCATAAGTAAATCTTACCTGCTCATGTGCGTATCTGAAATCCTGCAATGAAAGCTCAGTCACGGGTCAGTGATTCTCTTCCTAATTTGCACTGATGGTTCATATGCAAGATGCATATTTGAGAGCACAAGTGATGCCTCAAATACTCTGTTGTATGCAAGCAGCATGTGAGTATGCAAGAAGCATGTTGAATATATGCAAGAAGCATGGGTATATGCAAGTAGCATATGAATATATGCAAGAAGCATTTGAAAGAGCAAGATACTCTTTGTGGTATGCAAGCAGCATATAAACGAGTATGCAAGAAGCATAGAAAAGAGCAAGATACTCTTTCGTGTGGTATGCAAGCAGCATGTGAATGATATGCAAGCAGCATATAGACGAGTATGCAAGCAGCATATAGACGAGTATGCAAGCAGCATATAAAACAGTATGCAAGAAGCATAAAAAAGAGTAAGGCACTCTTTGTGTGTGGTATGCAAGAAGCATATGAAAGGAGAGGTTCTGAGTTTAGACCTGCCAAGCAAGCGCACCTGTCATGGCAAAGGTCATATACACATCTCCTCTCTCTTCTCTTTTCATACAGACATCTCTCTTTTTTCTGTCTCTCTCCCAGTTTGAAAGACCAAACAAAACTGTGCGATGGTTTGATCTATAGAGATAGATAACGCAATAAGAAAATACCCTGACCAATACCGTCCTTGAGCCATCAGGATCAACAAGAATTGATCATATACGTTTCTCTCTGTCCCTGGAATATGAATCCGAAAAGTAAGTCGACATCAATTCCAGTAATCCAAATTCGCAAGACAAATTAGGTAAGCAGACCCGAAAGATTCCGAAACAGAATCAACGGAATTCGAGAAACCCTAGACAAAGACATGAACTTACCTCGATGACCAGCGGCAAAACTCGTCTGATTGCAAATCGGCGCTAAGGATCAACGACGTCGGCCGAATCGAGATAAGTCGAGCCAAACCCTAACAAGGAAATCATCGTCCGAACAAGAGATTCGAAAAACAATCAAACGAAAAATCCTCAGGGAAAACAATCGGAATTTAAAACCAAACTCCCATAAAAAAGCCAACGGCGGCAGATTGGGATAAAGATAAGAGAGGGAAAAGTCGACCCTTTTTATGTACGGCGAGGAAAACCCAGACTCAGAGTCGGTTTAGATTTCGAATCTATTGATGGAGTCGGTTTAGATTTCGAATCAATCTCAGAATCAGAGTCGGTTTAGATTTCGAATCAGAACAACAAAAGTTTTATGTTAATCACCGTTCAATAAAATGTAAATCCTATAGGTAGCAAGAAAGCGCCTGTAGCTCAGTGGATAGAGCGTCTGTTTCCTAAGCAGAAGGCCGTAGGTTCGACCCCTACCTGGCGCGTTTGTTATTTTGACCTAATTATTTTTATTTAGTAGATATATTTTGTGCATAGTGCATATATAGTAATATTTTTAGAAGGTAGAGATAAATGGAGGGAATTGATTCCAAATAAACAAACATATATATAAAGATAAATTTAGATGGTATACACTAAACTTAAATCATTGAACAGAACCGATCCAAAAATAACCAATCCAAAACCGATATGATATACTATAATTTTCAAATCGAGCTTGAACCAAAAATCCAAATGTACAGGGTTAGAACTTATAAATATACTTTTAGGATTTTCAGTTATATTTTTTCGTATTTTGTGTATATTTTTCTCTAGTTTTTCTAGGTTATTTATATATTTTGATATTTTTAAATATTTTAGATGATAATCATTTAAACTAAGGGGTTATTGGGAGTAGAATTTATGTGAACTTTAAAGATTCTAAAAGTTAAAGAGAACCAAAAAAAATTTCAAAATCCGTTGTTATTGATTAATAGATTTTGATATTGTTATTAAAATCCTTTTTTTGTTAAAAAAATTATTGTTATTGGTTTTATGACTTTAAAATCCATATAACATTCATTGTTATTTAAAAGTTATCAAATCAATAACAATAGATTTTTTAACAAAATAAATAATAATAATATATTTTAATAAGAATATTAAAATCCATTAACCAATAACAACGGATTTTGAAAATTTTAACAAATCATCACAAATTCTACTCTCAATAACCCCTCTAACTCTAAATAGCTATAAGAATACCCAAACGGATAAAACCTTCCAAAAATCGTATTATTAGAATCGAACTGAACCGAATAGCCAAACAAGAAACAACCATAAACCTAGATTTAAAACTTAAGATTTGGGTATTTTTGCGAACAGTATTTTTTGGCGGGGATGTAAATAAATATGAATTATATGGTAAGAATAGATGGATGATAATGTGGATAATCTCTTTATTTCCTAAACTAAAACGCGGACGCAGTCGCCGACGCAATCACCGACGCGTTCGAAATGTGTTGGCGTCAGGTCGAAGCAAGTAAGAGAAAGCCAACTTTAAATGGACGCTATTCTCGTACCCTATAAAAACCCCCAATTCTCTTCCCAAATCCCTAACTTCCTCCCCTACATACACTCTCTCAAATTCGTTCATTTCTCAAAGAATATCTTCGAGAATCATCACATCATTCTTTTTTCCGTATTCTTTCCAGAGGAAACTTCCCAATTTCGTTTCGATTCCGGCCAGAAATTTCGGTAGCGATCTTTTCCGATCCGGCTGCGAGAACTCAAAAGAGGAAAGTCTTCTTCGCTACCTCTCCGTTTCGTTCTTCTCTGTAGCTAATCGATCGAATCATGGGAACTTCTCAGAGTCGGGAAGATCAGATCACCGATTCGGATACTGATTCCGAGTCCGAGTACTATGAAGACAAAGACGAGGATCAGTCCGATGACGAAGATGTCTCGAAGAAGCTAGGATCGTCGTCTGCTTATGGCTCAAACCTCGCGAGACCATCTGATTCTTCTTCTTCGGGACCATCCGATGCCTCGATTCTCGAAGTTGAGCAGAAGCTAAGCGCCTTAAAGCTGAAATATTCATCATCCGCATCATCCGCAACGCCCGGTATGAAAAACGCGGTGAAGCTCTACCGCCATATCGGTGGAAACACGCCCAAATCGAAATGGATCATCTCTGATAAACTGACATCGCACAAGTTCGTCAAGTCTTCGTCGGCGGACGGAGAGGATCTCGACGATTACGATGATGGTGAAGAATCAAGCGAGCGAGGTGAGTCCTTTTGGGTTCTGGGCGTTGGCTCTAAGGTTAAAGCTAGAGTTTCGACGGATATGCAGTTGAAAATGTTTGGGGACCAGCGTAGAGTTGATTTCGTGAGTAATGGAGTTTGGGCTTTGAGGTTCTTGACGGATGAGGATTATAGGAGGTTCGTTACAAGGTTCCAGGACTATCTGTTTGAGAATGTGTATAAGGTCAAGGCAACAGAGGCGAATAAGATTAAAGTCTATGGGAAAGATTTCATGGTTTGGGCTAATCCAGAGGCTGCTGATGATACTCTGTGGGCGGATGCTGAAGCTCCACCGGAGGAAGAGGAGCTTCAGGGGAAGAAGGAAACGGATTTGACTGAAGAGTTTGAAGAAGTGGCTAATGGTGGAGTGCAGAGTTTGGCTTTAGGAGCTCTGGCGAATTCGTTCTTGGTGAATGAGTCAGGGGTTCAGGTTTACAGGAACATGGAGCGTGGGATTCACAGGAAAGGTGTGTGCGTGAGATTCGATTCTGGAAACTCGAGATTCGCATCGGGTTCGAGCCAGACGACACCAAACAAGGCGCTTTTGATGAGGGCAGAGACTAATATGATGCTGATGAGTCCGGCTAAACAAGGGAATCCACATTCTAGCGGTGTGAAGCAGCTTGATATTGAGTCTGGGAAGATTGTTACGGAATGGAAGTTCGAGAAAGACGGGACTGAGATTTCGATGAGAGACATAACGAATGATACAAAAGGGTCGCAGCTAGATCCATCAGAGTCTACGTTTCTGGGGTTAGATGACAATAGGCTGTGTCAATGGGACATGAGGGACAGTAGAGGGATAGTGCAGAGCATTGATTCTCCCATCTTGGAATGGACTCAGGGACATCAGTTTTCGAGGGGTACGAATTTCCAGTGTTTTGCGACTACAGGAGATGGATCAATCGTTGTGGGATCGCTTGATGGGAAGATAAGGCTGTACTCGAAGACCTCAATGAGAATGGCGAAGACGGCTTTCCCAGGGCTTGGCTCACCGATAACTCATGTGGACGTTTCTTATGATGGGAAATGGATTCTTGGGACGACGGATACGTACTTGGTTCTTGTTTGCACCCTTTTCACTGACAAAGATGGTCGGACGAAAACTGGTTTTAGCGGAAGGATGGGGAACAAAATACCAGCTCCGAGGCTGCTGAAGCTAACACCACTTGATTCACACTTGGCAGGGAAAGATAATAAGTTTCACGGCAGTCACTTCTCATGGGTAAGTCTCACTTGACTGACACATTATTGATTTATAAAAAAAAAAACAAATCCTCATAGTCTTTTGTTGTGTGTTTGTTTGCAGGTAACGGAGAGTGGGAAGCAAGAGAGGCACATCGTAGCAACGGTGGGGAAGTTCAGTGTGATATGGGACTTGGAGCGGGTGAAGAACAGTGGACACGAGTGCTATAGGAACCAGCAAGGGCTCAAGAGCTGTTACTGCTACAAGATCTTGTTGAAGGATGAGTCAATTGTGGAGAGCAGATTCATGCACGACAACTTCTCCTTCTCCGGTAACAAATCTTCTCCAGAAGCTCCGCTTGTGGTTGCCACTCCTCAGAAAGTTAGCTCCATCAGTCTCTCCGGGAGACGACTGTAGTAAACACGTTTTTATTTCGAAAGCTTTCCCATGTTGGTCTTTGTAATGAATTTGGGAATTTGGTAGTGTAGCGTTTGAGTTCTTGTCGTTTTGTGAAGATTTGTGTTGAATAACAGTGTGGCTTTGCTTAAAATATGACTCATTGAAACAGATTTGTATGTGGTTTTAATAAAATTGCGTTCGAGTTGGTTTCATAAATTCTCTCTGACTTGCATAATAATATTGCGTATGCAGTCTAATGTTGAAACGAACTCCTCAACCTATGCAGTCTAATGTAGATGTCTAACATTTCTTACTTGATTTGATAAGAAAAATCTGTTTTTACTTCATACTTAGAGACTTTATTCTTGCAATGGCATCAACTGAAATCAAATCAAACATAAAGAGAAAGATACTCTGAATGTTTCCATGTATTGATCATCAAAAGAGTGGTTACATCTATAGCAAATGAATTAAGCTAAAATCTAGAGAAATCTACAACAATCTCTAACTATTTGTTCTCTTCTACTGAAATCTTGCTGAGAAACAGATGTTGAGTATCTACATCTTCTAGAGAATATGCCGAATTGAGTAAACCAGCTGCGAACCAAAGTCAACCCAAACCTGTAGTAAACCATCAACTCCAAAAAAACCAGGCATGGTAAGTAGAGATTGAAAGAAGAGAGAGTCAAGTTCGTTCTGTATCAGAATATGAAAACCCACTACAAGAAACATATTTTTTAGTGTCACTTTTTTTTAAGTTTAGTATCATACAAGAATTATTGTATCATTTCAGAAAATGACACTAAAATCAATGACACTAAGTTTTTTTAATATCACTTTTATAAATGACACTAAAATTAAACTTTAGTATCACTTGTAAATAAATGATACTAAAATTTAATTTTAGTATCATTTGTAAATTGACACTAAAATGATTTTAGTATCACTTTTACAAATAACACTAAAATTAAATTTTAGTATCATTTGTGTAAGTGACATTAAAATGATTTTAGTATCATTTGTGTAAGTGACACTAAAAATGAGATTAGAATTAAAAAAATATATATATACATATATATATATATATATGTAAGTGATACTAAAATTAAAATTAGATTAAAAAAAAATTATTCAAGCTAAAATATTCTTATTTAGTAATTACAGAAAATGTATATTTATTCAAGCTAAAATAATGTATATGTGTCTTCTTCCTTATATTCTCTTCTTCAAGTATCTCATACCCTGAAATAAATATCAAATTGCATCATAAACATCAAATTTCTCATAAGAAACCTATTTGCAATTGTCTTAAGCTCTTCTTATACAATTCTCTTAAGCTCTTCTTATACATTCGTATACATCAACCCCAATAAGCAACATAATACTATTTGCAAAGTTGAACCGTATGCACAACACAATACTATTTGCTACAAACTTATCCTATTTCTAGTCTCAAGAACATCAAAGCAGCACGACTCAAGAACTAAGAACTAATACTACTCTTAAGTTGATTCCCAATATCCCAGAACGAAGAACTAATACTACTCTCAAGTTGCATTTTCTAACATTTTCAAACCAAGACAAATGAACACTGTCGATAGAAATGTACCTCTATGCCTGAGATGAACAAACCAGGTTCGCTTTCAAGATCTGCAATGCTGTAGAGCAAAAAAAATAACAGTAGAAGAAAGAGGTTTTAGTTGTGAGTCCTGTAACTCAGGAGCTTTGCGTTTTTATTCAAGGTTTTTACCTCAGAGAGATCTTGTCTGGGAATAGAGATTTCACAACCAGAACCTTTAAGCTTTCGTCCACCTGAAGCACATCGCTCACTGATCCAAATCTTCTGAGAGTTATCTTTGAAATGTGTAGCAGTCCACTGTGGAAACACATGTATTGGCACGCGAAATGAGTACTTGTCAACAAACAAATTTATAGAAGCAATGGACATGAAATCTAACCTTATGCTACTATCCCCAAGTTTGACTTGAGCTCCATAAGGTAAGATTTTGGCAACTGTTCCTTCTCAAGGTACACCTTCTCCTGAAGACATTATGCGATATATCAAAGCAGTCCCATCGTAGAACTTTTCTGACTAAGACAAAGACATAAAAGTGAAACCAACCCAGACTATTTTTTCACTCAGTATCAAGTCGTTTTTGTCTTCGTTCAATCTCGTAATCTGCACAACGAGTCTACAACCCACCTGTAACACACAAAAATAAACTGAGCAAACTCATAACGGTGAAGCCAAAAGTTCATGCAGTAGAAGAAGAAACTCTTGTTTACATTTTCCTTCAACTCGGTTAGAGCTGTCAAAATGGGCGTCCATGTCCATTTTGGCCCGTCCAATAATGTCCATTTGTTTTATGGACAAAATATTGTCCGTGTCCATTTAGCTCCATGTCCATATTGGACCATGCCCATTATGGCCCATCAAAACTGGGCTGTCCGTGGGCTGTCCATAGACAAAAAATCAATTTTTTTTATTATATATATATTTTTTTTTGAAAATCGATTTTTTTTTTCTGCGCGAGTTAGGTTTAGGACTTTTACGTGAAACCCGAATCCGAATCCGAACTCGACCCGAAAAACCTAAAAAATCGTAAAAAACTTTAAAAACCCAAAAATTCGTAAAAAAACTTTGAAAATCCGAAAAACTCGGAAAAAAATCCGAAACCGAAAAAAAACTTAAACCAAACCCGAACTGAAACTTTAAAAGACCCGGACGATTTATATATCTCTAAACCCGAAAACCTAAAATCCGAAAAATCCGATCAAATCCCGAACCAAAACCCGAAAACTAGGCCTGTCAATCGGGTCAAACCCGCCCCGCCTGACCCGCCCCGCACATATCAATATTTTTTTTGACCCGCTTTGACCCGTCCCGCCAAATTTTGAACATATTTTTTTCGACCCGCATCCGCGCCGTTTAAATCTGCAGATATCCGCGGGTAATCCGCAAATATTAATAAAATAATAAAATTTTAAATTATATATATTTTTAATAAAAAATTACAAATAATTTTTTTTAATAATAAAAATCATTAATATTTATTTTTTAAAAGAGTTTTTAAATATTATTAAATAATTTAAAAATATTTCTGAATATTTTTTTTTTTTTCGATAAATTAAGAACAATTGTTGACTAAATAATAATATTTAAAAAAAATTGAAATTAAAAAAGAAAAAAAAATTGGCGGGTAACCCGCAAACCCGCGGACTAAAATATTACAACCCGCACCCGCATGACCCGCTAATTTTTTTTGAATTTTTCTCGACCCGCACCCGCCCCGCGGCGGGTCAATCGGGGCAGGACCCGCAGTTCGGGTCTGAAATTGACAGGCCTACCGAAAACCCAAGCTTAACCCAGATTATGAAAAATGATTTTTTCTCAAATCAATTTGACCTAGATATTTATGTCCATTGGACAGCCCATGTCCACACGTGTCCGTCCATATTTGTCCATGGGCTAAATTGGACATGCCCAAATTATGTCCATATTGAAAGTGAAATTATTCACTTTCTTCACCACTTACTGCTTTGGAATAAAAGCTCTCAAACCCTAAAATCAAACCAACACAAAAGCTATGCATTATCTAATCTAAGCAACATGTGAATCCCCAAAATCAAGACGACAAATTCTAGTACCTCAAGTTTCTCCACGGGGATTGTTCACAACAACATTACATCCTTCCTTTGACAATCTGCAGCTGATTTTTAGTGTTTGGGAGCTTTTTAGTGAATTCAGTGAAGCCACAAAACTATAATCCTTCACTGAATTCTCTGCACAAACGTGAAAACTGATATTAGTAAAGGATCAGAACAGAGAACACAACATCATCACAAAGTACTTGTACGAGGAGCTTACCTTCTAGTGTTGAGAAGAGTATTAAGAAGATCATTCATCTTCTGGTACTCATCTAGGACCTGAGAAAAATTGAATGTCAAGCAACACGAATCATTCCACCTGACGAGAACCTAGATAGGGATTATAACAAGGATACTCAAATTACAGGAAAACTACGACAAGAGATTCCTAGTTGAGCATAAGAATACCTCATTGAGAAGAGAAAAGGCACTTCGAACAGGGTAATGATCGTCCATGAATCCCACCGCACAAAGGCCATTTCTATATCAAAAACAAAGCACGAACACTAATTACCCCAAAATCGAGAACAATTACAAAGAACTACATTCATCGCATAGCCCGTAAAGACCTAGAAAGAGGTGAGAAAACAATTGCACACATCCTAATCATAAAAGTTGGGAAATCGAAAAGCCGATCCGATTCCGCAGAATCGAAGAAACGCAAATAGGAAAAAGGGAATGGCAATAGATCCGAGAGAATAGAGAAAGAAACTAGCGATCTAAGAGGTAGAAGAAGGAGAAGAACCTTCGTGCTGAACGGATTGGCGCGGGGAAGGAGGGTTTAGGCTGGCGACGGTGCAATCGACAGAGACGACAAACTCCTTGACGCTCGCTGGAAATAGCCAAAGTGAGATACGTCGGAGGCGTTGGCGAGGATAACGAGCTCGGAAGTTTTGGGAGCGCAATTGATCCTCGATCGAGGAGCTCGGAGAGAAGAGACCTGCTTTTTTTTACAACGGCAAATTATTTTTATTTTGCAATTTATTTTTAATTCAAACCATCATTATTAATTTTAAAAAAAATCTGAAAATGCTGATTTTTAGTGTCATTTACAATGAAATGATATTAAATACTGTTTCTTTGTGTCATTTATAGATGAATGATACTAAAAAATCATTATTAATATCATTTACAAGTAAATGATGTAAGTGTCTTTGTCTTAGTGTCATTTTCAACAAATGATGCTTTCTAATATGATTAATTTTTAATTTAGCATCATTTGTTAAAAATGATACAAAATAAACTACACTAATAAATAGTTTTGTTGTAGTGACCATACCATCATCATATTGATCAGTAGGTGACTGTAGTTTATATCATTTTATTGCAGCAACAGTTGGGTCTGAGAAGTGTTTTAAAAGAACCAAGCCTAACCAAAGTTGACCCCGTCCTTAAATCTCTCCAGAAGAGATCCTGTTAACTTGTTTCCTTCCAATTATGTGCAAGAACACGTAAGGAATCCTATCTATTATACTGTCACAGAATGAGACTGAGAACACTGTGTTTAAGTCTTAAACAGTAGGCGTTGGATTAATAGGAACTTGACCAATTCAACAGAGTATCCGAGCTACAATGTAAAAACAAACCTCAAGAAAAGCACATATAAGACAAGAATACAAAGGGATGATGGTGAAAGTGACAAGAAATTAAGCCATGTTGTGAGGTGGCTCCACCCAATCAATGCAGCTAGACACACAGGATCCCTGACGGAGATGAGAGCTTTTCATGGAGTAGTGGATTCCATCAGTGAGCGATGTATATATTCTGTTCCTCTCCTCCGCCGAGAGACCGGCCCTTAATAAAGAGCTAGGGAAACTTGCAAACAACGTCAAGCCTCCAATATCTCTCTTCTCTTGCCACCCACATTGTTTCAAGTCTAGTTTAAACACCCTCGTCCGGTTGCTCTTGTAGCTCGGTGTACAAAAAACAAATACGTCCCCTTCATGCTCCGTCATCAACACTGGCTTAGGTCTCTTTGCCGGGTATTTCCTTCCCATTTAAAGGTCGGAAGAGGTTTCACCGGAGGAAAATTCCACGTCGCTTCACACGGGTACTCTCGAAAACCCCAAGGTGGCCAAGGTTATTGAGACAGTAGAACAAACCATCTCAGGCCCACGAAATTAGACTTAAACGTAAGTAAGACATTACAGCCCAAGACAGGCCCACGAAATTAGGTCCTGAACGTAAGAGATTCCTTACGCCAGATACGGATTCCATGTCGACGACTCAAAATCCGCCGAAGAGACCTCCTTCACTAAGAAATCATCCAACAAAAGCATCCTTCTTCAACTAGACCAAGAACACAGCTACGCCGGAAAACCGCCTAATTCGTTGCGATTTGCAGAGCCGGAGGAGAAATCGATCGTAATCCGTTGGCGGAGATTCGCTGCACCCTCTAGGTCTCACGGTTTCTCCCTTTTGTGAAACGTTACTTCACATCACCGTTATCACACAATTCGATCCCCAAATCTCAATTTACAGGTCACAATCCTGCTCTCGATTTCTCCAATTTGACATTCGTATTGATAAATTCGATTTGGAATGCGTATCTGATCATCAAATGTTGTTTTCAGATTTGTAGCAGCCACAAATGTCTGGGCTCTTGGACCGAATTCCAGACGCGGTTGCGATGAGATGCCTCGCGCACGCTCCATTAGACCTTCATCCGAATATAGAGCTCGTGTCTCGTTCATGGCGAGCAGCGATACGCAGCGACGAGCTCTTCGAAGTCCGTAAAGAAGTTGGATCAACAGAAAACTTTCTCTGCGTGTGCGCTTTCGATCCTGAGAACACGTGGCAAGTCTACAGCCCCAACTGCGATCGCTGGCTTACTCTCCCCATCCTTCCGTCGAGAATCCGCCATCTCGCCAATTTCGGAGCTGTCACCACCGACGGGAAGCTCTTTGTCTTAGGCGGAGGCAGCGATAACGTCGATCCGCAGACTGGCGATCACGACGGCACTTTCGCGACGGACGAGGTCTGGTGTTACGATTTTGTTGAGAGGCGGTGGAGTCCTCGCGCGCCGATGCTCGTGCCTCGCGCTATGTTCGCCTGCTGCGTTCTCGACGGGAACATTGTCGTTGCTGGCGGATTCACGACTTGCCGGAAATCGATATCTGGAGCTGAGATGTACGATCCGGAGAAGGACGTGTGGACTCCGATCCCGGATCTTCACCGGACTCACAACTCGGCCTGCTCGGGTCTGGTGGTGAAAGGGAAAGTCCACGTATTGCACAAAGGGATATCGACGGTGCAGGTTCTTGAGAGTGTGAAACTCGGATGGACTGTGAAAGAGTATGAGTGGCCTCAAGGTCCAATGGCTGTTGTTGAGGACGTGCTTTACGTCATGAGCAATTCAATGGTGTACAAACAAGAAGAAGATGATGACACGTGGAAGATGGTTGCGTCGGCGTCAGAGTTTAAGCGGAGGATTGGAATGGCCATGACGAGTCTGAATGATGAGGTTTATCTCGTAGGAGGAGTGCTTGGGCCTGATAGATTGAATTGGGACATCAAGCCGGTGTCGGACGTTGACGTTTTGACTGTTGGGAGTGATCGTCCGGTGTGGCGGAAGGCTGGGCCGATGAAGGGTCGTGGTACGATCCGTTGCTGGACGCAGCTGACAATCTGATGGTTGGGGTAATGTGAGTTTGTTTTCAGTTTTTCTTTGTTTTGTATGTCTTTTGTTGTTTGGTAAAATGTTTTGACTACTGTTTTGGAATACTCTGAGAGAAAAAGGAAGAAGCAGATAGCTTAAGTTTTTAAGAAAACATCATCAAATCGTATTATTTTTGGGGTTTTGATGAAGGGCAGAGACAAGCATGAATCGTTTTGGGATCGCTTGATGGAAATATATGGGTTGATTTTACTCAATGAGACAGGGCAAGTGATCATTTCTAAAAATGAGTCTTGAGAAACCACAAAACAATACATTTGATGAAATGAGCGATTGATGCTTATAGATAAACAACAATACAAAGAGGAATTGCATTTACAGAGACATCTCCCATATTGTTTTATACAGCAGAACAACACAAGAAACCCGAGTTTCTGTTTTCGTTTTTTTTTTTATATTTGTCAAGGAGAAAATGCAGTCTAGAGTCGAAATGGACTGGACCAATACAAAACTGAAAAAAAGAAAGATAAATCTATATAACCTTTCTTCTTTTTTTCAACCTCCCAACTCTAATTAGTAAGGTAATGAAGCGGAGAAACAATATCTTCAGCAGCTAAATGGTTTGGTTTGGACAAGTGGAAACATGTTCCGTATCTTTCATGCTTGCATTGCAAGCCTAATCATCATCATCCTCTGAATCTGCCATTGACGAGAGAAAAAACAAAACGAGAAAATTATAACTCATAAACTTTAATAGATATCCACACTGCACAGACCAGAGAACATAGAGCAATGAAGAACATAATAGTATGAAGAAGTCATTTGCAGATTAAGATAGAGCAATGACCCAAGTCTCATACGAATGATAGATAAACAGTTTTATTCAAAACCGAGTTTCAGCAAAAAAATACAAAAAAACTTACCGGATCTTATGTCTTCTCCGACTTGTCCTCTGTTTTTAAGCAGTCTTCCGATCATGGCGCAAATGAGGTACCACCAATAAATGTGGAAAACAAGAAGCATCAGTAACATCGTGTTGAAGGAATAGTACATGATCGTGCCTTCAGCTGAGTTCATATCCAAATAATCCAGGAGTTCAATGCTTCAACAACAACACAACAAAAAGAGCAAACGTCAGATAAAGCTTTGACATTTGACAACAAGCAAAGATATTTATATCCAATAAGTGTATTGGGCACGTACCTCGTGGCCCTGATGATCCAAAATGGGAAGTAAATCAACCGTAACAACAGCCAAGACAGAGCAAATAGTGAAAAACACACACTTGCTCCAAATTCTTTTTCAGAGTACTTGAAAATTTTAGCAGTTTCCATAAACACATCACTTGCATCGTGAAGGGCTAAGATGATTGCTCCAATTCGGAAAAAACTGCAGAAGAAATAAATTCAGTTTCTCAGTCAAAAAGTTTAACCTCCACAGATGAACAAATGGTAACTCTTTGAAGTGATCAAAGCTCTTTTACTCTGAATGGAACTTAATACATCCTTTCAAAATTTAGGTACTTCCAAAGCATTATACTATGTACTAAAAGACAAGTTTTAGCATCTTCACATACTTTTCAACAAACCATGGAGTGAAAATGTAAGTAGATGAATCAAAATCATACCTCGTTAAGTACGAGTAGCCAATGAGGAGGATTGTGATTACATGGTGAGACATCATAACAGCAAAATCCTTTCTTCTGGTCTCCCATGCAAGCAACGCAGCAACACCATACACATAAAACCCACACTGGCACATATAGTAAAGCTTTACTGAAAACCTACAAACAAACAAAAACGAATAAATTAGGCTATTCGCTTTTGAGTAGTAGCAAAATCGAGGTGAAGAAAACGAATGTGGGTTTGATTAATGATGACTCACTTCAATTCTTGATTTGGCCAACCGTCAAAGTAGAGCTTGACATCTCTGGCCCATGGCTCGTGAAAAACGACTTTGAGAACGAATATGTCACAACCAGCATAGTACAGCAATTTCCACAAGGACTCCTTGCATTTCACGATCTTTGCTCGAGTAACCACATCATTCATTTTAACCGGAGCAGAGCCAGTTCTCAAAAGCCACACAGCTATTCTCTGGAAAAAAGATTGAAAAATACCAAAACAACAGCACATTAATCATCAATCTCTTAGTTCTTGAAGATGCATAAATCATCAATCCGAAATGCTCTCCATAAAAATTCTGCTAATTTTTCGGCATTTAGAGATTAATAAACACGAATTTATGACTAAAGTCTCTGCTAAACAAAGGCGTAAAGCTTTCGCAATCAATTCCAAGATAGACAAACAAACAAAAATATTAAATTAAAAAAATAATAATAAGAGGAGATTCTTAGTTACTTGAAAGACGAATCTATCGAGGAAGAGCCTCAAAAAGAAGAAACCGAAGGCGAAATAGACAGCAATCTGGAAATGCCATGCCGCGATCGACGGTGCAAGATCTCTTACGTCGGCGTCTCCGGCGCGTGAAGATACCGAGTCCATGCCGACGAGACCTCTTTTCTTTTCACTGAGAAATCATTCAAACAGAGGAATCAAAACTTCCGGTCGAGCAAAAAACAACACCCAGCTGCGCCGGAATTTGGTATGCGAAATGGGCGGAATCGGAGGAAGAGAAATCGATGAGAATTTTTGGGTCAACCTTTTTCGTAGGGAGAGAAGAGATTCGCTGCACGTTTTAATCCTCAAACTGTGCGACAGATGGAAATTTTGCGCAGGTTGAGGGAGAATTGGGATCTCGCTAGTCGCTACCTTCTCTCTCTTTTTTTTTTGTTTATTGCTAATTGTTTTCTTTTTAATCATTTAATAGAGAACAAGTCATTAATTCTTCTTTAATTTTTATTTTCAAAAAAAAAATAAGTATATGATGTCATTGCTATTTGTTTTTCGCTTTTTTGGACACGCGTGATTCGTGTGATATTAGATGATTTCATTTCACGATTTTCTTACTCAACTGTTTCTACTTATTTCAATAAATGTTCGTAGCTCGTTAATAATAAGGAATAATTGTTGATACTTACAAAATACTCAATGATAAAGAATTCAATTAAGCCGAATGAGGATCATTATAATACTTAGAGTTTACGATAAGGATGATGCTTCAAATCAAGTGTGAGCAATGATCATGTCCCATTGTCCCCTTTAGCTCTTCCTTCCACTTTTGATTTGCTAATTTAGTACTGTAATTTTTTTTTAATTTTACATTTATTATGAACTACAGATTCTATCTATCTATATTCAGAAAGTTAACTTTATTCTATAAATGGTAAAAGCAAATCAGCATTTACGAAAAACAAAATAAACTTTTTTTTTTGTTAAAACAAAAAAAAAACTTTCTGATCTTTTTCTCTTTTTTGGTGAATATTTATTTTTCTTTTGTTAAATGTAATTCGGTTTTTATTCATTATTATCATGTTGGTTTTGAAAACAGTGTCATATTTGATATATTTTAGAATATCGAATCTTCGAAAACAAATCTCATATATTTCTTTAAAGCAAAAGTTTATAATCTTTGGTAAAATGTTTCAAAGGAAAAGTTAATCATATTATTTTATTTTATTTTATTTTTTGTTAAAGAAGTTAATCATATTAACATGATATAGTTAGGAGATTCGGCTTAATATAAGCAAATGGTGTGTTTCTTTTCGTTGTGAATTGCCTTAAGTTATCATCTCCAATTTTGTCTTCCCGACCTATAAAACCACTGACAGCGATTTTGTGTCCCGTTGGTCTAGTATTCAAAGATACTTTTCTACGTCAATTTATGGATGCGCATTTGATCTTCTCCGAAAAGGGTTTGCAGAAGGATTTTTTTTAGCAATTTGTATCCAACTATCTGAAATTAAAAATTAGGTTTAACTTGTCATTTATATGCATGATGCTAGATTTCTACAAAATAAAACTCCATTGTATTGGGTATCACTTTGTGTAGATGATCCATCCATCCACGGCATTTAAAAACTCATGCTTTCGGCACTTCCCTTTTTCTTTGTCACGTTTGGACTCTCTTTCTCTACAAAAAGGTAGTGAAAGTTTATTTCTTCCTTCATTTAAAAAAATAAACACGTTTTAACATCTGAATATATTATGTTTAGAGTTAACCACAATTTTTACTAGATTACGTATTATACCTGAAAAAAAAAGTCATTGAAAATCATTTATCGAAAAAAAAAGAAGCTAGCAGCTAATACCCATAATTGATTCCAATTATAGTATTGCATTTTTGTATCAAAACATATACAGATAATTCATTACATATGAAAAGAAATATTATTCAAAAATACATATGATGACGTCATTATAATTAAAAATTAATAGTATGGGGTACATGTATTATAATTAAGAGACAAAAACCAGTACCTATTGTCGTACTCACATCTGCATACGTATTCAAATCTTTGAAAATATCAAATCAGGATGAACCTAAATAAAACAAAAGAGTATGCGGAATAATTTTCTTACAACTACTATCCGTGACATATAACTCTATTTATTTCCATGAGTTTGACTTGTTATGAAAAAAAAAAAGACTAGAAGAAAATAAAGGTCTGGTTACACTCGTTTTTTCCAGCCATCTATTCTAGTTTTAATATATTTGTATTATTACCAGCCATAGACTTTTCTTTCTGCCAATTCGTTCATACATTCAATATGCTAGTCACTTCTTGTATTATGCTTAGAGACTTTTCTTTCTACTCATCTCTCTCTAACGAGTCTAATCACGTTGACAACAGCCAAAAAAATTGTCAATTCGCTAATTTTCTTCTAATGACTAGCGACAATAATTCTAAGACCAAGCAGAAAGTGGACTGTTGAATTATACTAAAGCCCAATGAAATGACAATATGTAATACAATAGCCTTGGGCCCATGAACCCATCTCAGAGCCTAACCAATTTCAATAGCTAGCACCAACCATCTGAATCGTGTGGCCAAAAGAGCAAAGAATAATAAGGCTCTAACTGGTGATCCTAAAAAGAACAAAAGAATGAGAAGGAATAGAACAAGGAGGAATAAAATATATGAAATTCATTCCTTCCCATATTTTATAATAAATAATTTAACACTAAAATTCTTTAATTAATATGGAATGAGAAGGAATAATATGAGATATGTATTCCTTGTAAATGGTTTAATTTTTAGGAAATGAGATGGAATTGTATTATTCCCCCTCATTCCTTGGTTACCAGTTACGACCTAAGTTTCTCGTAACTCACTTTGGATAAACTCTGAGTCAAACTTCAAATACCAAATAATCTGAATGGTTTATGTTTGCAATGTACCAATTTAACATGTCTGATTATTTGTTCAATATACTGTACCCGGCTACCAAGATAATTTTTTTGACAAAGAGCTACCAAGATTTTTACTTGTCACTTTCCTTTCATTACATGCATGTATATAGTATTGTAGATGTGAATTAAAAACTCACCTACCACTCTCAAACGGACAGGAAATATTAAATTCCGACACAAGAATACTAGAAGGAGACATATAAACTACTACGCGTAAATATATAAGGACTAGTTTTAAAAATAAAATACAAAGTAATTGAAAAATGGCGATGTCTGGTTGCATGAGTAGGAGCACCAAACAAAAATCGATACAAAATAGACTAAAACCCGAAAAGGAAATCAGTTCGTAAATTAGGCCACTCCCCCTAACTTTACATTTTCATTGGTACAACACTCAACACTCCCTTATGGCCTTATGTTACAATTTACACCCCAAATATTATTACTAATCGTAACTGATAGTTTAAATATATAAAGGAACTTTCCTTTATTTAATCAATGTTGATACTTTTCTTTTCTTTTCGTTTCTTTGTTCTAAACCTAGTGATTCAAATTTCAGCGTGATAATATGATAAACACTTGCGATGCTCAATTCCTTAATGATATTCCTTGCAAGGCTTTATTTTGGAACTAAGAATGGCTTTCACATCTCATCTCTTTTACTCTTTAGTATAAGAGCATCCGCAATGGTGATACTCACCATAAGTTCCTAAATATATTAAAAAAAACAAATTTTTAAAATAAATAAATAAATGAATAAAATTGGTGAATTAGATAATGACAAGTGTAGAGCTTCTTTGTGAATCGATTCCTGCAGCTCTCCCAGCTCAACCGACTCTTTCTTTTTGCCGTGCCACCTCATTTCTTTTATTTATTTTCATTTTCTTTTTTGTTATAGAGTCTATGAGAGTATCACCAATGCAGATGTTCTAAGTTCTCCGGAATAAAGGTGTCGCAGCCCTATGATCACAATTGTATAAGTTACTATTCGATGATTTCGCTATGTAAATATTTCGTTGTTTTAGGGATTTTACGTCCACAGATAAAAATTCGTGTTTTACATTTGCGTTTTCCTTTACTAGTTAAATGTTATGTATATGTGGTTTTGTTGTTGCCCTATATATTATGAGTTTAAGGGTATAACTATTAAGTGGAATGTGATAGTTTTTCTTTTATATACGGTTCAGTAATATACTCAATTTGAATATGAAAACGTTGTGTTTGCGATAATAACTATTAACTTCGTCAGCTAAATGTAGTAAGGTAGACCAAAATTTAGCGGTTTTAATAAGAAATAAGGAATTATTCGGCAATGATTTGGATGGTAGGCTCTGAAAATAAAGGATTCAACCAAAAAAGAAAAAAATAATGTAAGGTAAAGGCCATTGTCATGTTAGAGATCAGGACCATTTCTCAAAGATATGATGAAACGGACCCCATTCTTTGTTCTTTTGATATTTTCTATTAGAAATACAACTTCTTTTTCTAGGTGGCCATTTTGATTAACGACACATGTCACAGCCTCATAAAATTAGAAGATGCTCTGTTTTATCGTAGCTTAAGTCATTTTCGCAGTCCACTCACACATAGACACACCTTTCACAAAAACCTCTTTCTATTATTTTCACATTCACGATTTGTGGTCGTACTGCTCCCTTCACGTGAGCCCCACTCTTTGATTTTGGTTTGGTTACAATACCGGAATGAATAGACATTTTAACTCCACCATATATATAGTTGTTGCATGTTACAAACATGCTAAAACCCCCGAAGGCTACAATAAATATTTTCTAAAAAAATTAGAAAAGGGGTTTTAAACATTTTATCGAATTTAGAAAAATATAATTTAACGCTAATTAAGATAAGATTGATTAATACTAGACTTTAAATTAATTGAAGACCTAAAGAGAATGTCGTCGAAATGTAGCGGGAAGACCATTTTTAGGGATTGGAAATGGACCGTACTCTATTCCTTTCTCTCCTCCCACCACTTCCCATCTGCATAATCCAATTTCAATCATATTAAATATCAAATAGTAACTTTAACGCACAAAAAAGTATATCAAAAACTTTCATCTATTAATATCTTCATTACTCATTAGTACATCACATGTCAAGCATATGTTTGATTTGTATTTGTAATGTTTATCCGTTATTAGTTATGAATAGTGATGTGATAAATATATAAGGCTTAGATTTTAGTAGTACGATCATACTGACACGTTTTTTTTTTAAGATGGTAAGAGATTTGTGACGTAAACGATCGATTGTACTAGTTTTAAAATTTATCCTGCATCGGAACTAAGCTAATCTTATTTGATATGAAAGAGTTATCTATCTTCTGAACACCTATCTAGTTTCTTGCTATTTGGCAGTATCTTTCAATTTATTGTCAAGACTATAGTTTCATTCTAAGACTACTCTTGTTGCTTATCATACATAGCGGTATGTAAAGGCTTTAAAGTGATCAAGATGTGGCTATAATCATGGTGTGAATCGTAGACTTTACTAATTTGAAGACTCGTCGTGCATGAAAATTAAGCTAACTATAATCTAGATTCTAGAAGAGGAAGAGTAAAAATTTACCGGAAATTGCAAACTAAATGGTGGAGAAAGATAAGAATCTGTAACTTGGCGAGTTCGTTCCCAGGACAAGCATGAACTCCACTTCCAAAGGGCATGAATGTATTTGGCTTTGGATTTCCCTTTAATTAGTTTCAATAATCACGTAAGCCGTCGTTCTTTAAAAACAAAATATTACTTATTAATATTCTAAATATGTTTTCTGTAGTTTATTAATTATTACCTCAAATCTAGATGGATCGAAAATTTCAGGGTTTGAAAAATGTTTCGGATTGTGATGAATATTCCTAAAGAGTGGCATCACTTTCCATCCCTTGGGTATCAAATATCCTGTATACATGCATGTTACAAGAACCAGAAATATTAGTGATTTATATTCATTTGGACCACAACATTTTCATTTTGGTACATCTCATTAAAAGAAAAAATATTAAAAATTTATATAGAATGTTCTAGTAGTGTGAAATGATATAATTAGTACCCTTATATTCAACATCAACCACTGCTTCTCTGAATGTGAAGGATATGATGCTTGCCATCCTCAAGCTCTCAACTACGACCTATTTCACATAACATTAAAACATAAGCTATATATTACATTAATCCTAGATAATGTAAAAAGTAAAAAAAAACGAAAGATTATAGTAATTATTACCCTATGTGTTAGTGGCATATTCCTCGTTTGTCCCCATGTTAAAGGCTTCTTCTCTCTACTATTTTCTTCATATATAGCCCTTTGCTCATCCTGCAACCATCATAATTAGTATACATATATACATTTAAGTATTTATATGTGTACACACAAACAAGAGGAAAAGATTATAATCATGCATGTGATCAAACCTTAACAGCTTCAAGAAGCTTCTGATCATCATGCAAGTACTTAAGAATCCAAGTTAAGCAACTAGCTGTCGTATCTTGCGCGGCAAATAGGACTCCGATGATGTTGTCCGCAATCTGCTCTTCGGTTAGCTCACGACCATTATCGTCCTTGAAGTTGAGTAGATGACCAAGAAAGTCCGTTTTTAAGACCCTTTTCTCTTTTCTTTCGCGTATAATCTCGCTTACTATCATCTTTAGCCTCTTCCTCGCCTTTTTTTTTAAAAAAATGTCCACGTCAGTTTATCAAAGTTTACTAAATATCCGGAGATTTAACTGAATCATTCATTCAAGAGATGATATTGTACCATGAGAGCTTTGTGATAAGATGTTCCAGGGAAACTCATGGGGAAAGAGTTGTAGCCTTTGTCCACAATATTGTAGTTATGTTTCAAGACCTCCTTGTAAGAACACTCCAGATGGCCAAATATGGCTAGAATGCCCACATCAAAAGCGAACTGCAAGAGACATGATAATCTTTGCTTATTAAGGAGATTTCATAGATTACGAGATAAAGAAAGGAATTGCATTGTTTGCGTGTGTGCATTTTTTTTTTTATATACATATGAAAATAAAATATAGATACCTTTTTCATTTCTTGGTAGGTAGAGACGATACGCATACTGGTCCAAGATTGTAAAGAAGATAGGCAAGTGTGCTCGATATCAGGGATGAGATTGCGAATGGTTTCAGGGTATAAAGAGGATTGAACAAGTTTCCTTATATGGACATGATAATCTCCTTGGTGGAAAAATAGAGCAGAAGGTCCTATTAGCTTCTCTTTGCTTCTCGGATACGTTGGTTTGAACATATGGGCATGAGTCACCAGGACAAACCTCGCGGCCTCAGGACTAGCCAGCATCACGCAAGGATAGCCAAGGATTCGGGTTTTAAATATCTCTCCATATCTATACATGAAATGATAAATTTATTTTTAAGCTAAGATGATAACCGAAAAAAAGTAACTTGAAAGACAAGTCTTTTTTGTTACCTCTTTTGCTTGGAGGTGAAGAAAACATTTGGGTCTTGTGAATAGAGTTGTATAGTCTCTCCTAAATAAGGCCATCCCATGGAACCAGGAGGAAGCTTACCTCTACAGCTCTTCTTCTTCTTTCTCTTATTCTTCTTTAAAACCATCACTCGTCTTACCAAAAGTAAGCAGGAGATTAAAATTGCTACGACCAAGAACCAAAATTCAGCCATAATCAATTATCTGATCAGTATGCGATGTTTTGTAATGAACTGTTTTGAAGGATGAAAAAATAAAAACAACTCTGAAAGGGAGGAAGAAGAAGAAGATAAAACACACACACGAAACATAAGAGAGGTGGGTATATATATACATAGAAAAAATATGGAGTGAACAAATAAAATAAATAAAAAGTTGGGAATATATATTTATTTTATTATTATTTTCGCCCAAACGTGAGGAGATGACGATGGCTTTCTATTTTCACAATTTTGGTTTCTCAGGCGAAAAAGCTGAATAAATCTAAATGTAGATTTTGTCGATTCTTATTTATGTAGAAGGATATAGACAATTTTGTTATGTGAATTTATTTTTGGTTACTTACGAGGATATATTTTGTATATTTAATTAAAGAGGGTGCTAGAAATCGCGATTTAGTTTATTCATGTTTATTGATATATTACCTTGGTTTTCAAGGTATTGAGCAGTGTAATTAGCTACAACTACAAGGTTCCGAGCGTAGTTCATGAATACTAAGTATTTTAATATTCACTCTATTTCAAAATTTCTTACTCATTCCACTTCTTACAAGAAAAGTCAGAAGGTGGTAATATCTAGAATTCCAGATACACAAATTCAGATCTAATTAAGTCTAGCTATCCACTATTGAAACACAGATCTCTCATCTCTCTATCTAGGTTGACCCCCAAAAGAAAAAGAGATCTCTCTTTTTATACGTGGAGATCTTACCTTGGCTTTCACCAATGTAGCCTTCATTTTAACATATTGTTTATTTATTATCATTATATTTTATCTCTATATTTTTTGCCTTGTTATTTTCCTGTCACGTGTGGAGTATCAGTTGAATAACAATACCACGATAGTCGATAGGGATGCTAATTGATTAATAAATCCAAATACGAAACAAAACTAGGTGCTCACAAGTCACAACGGCTTTATCCCTTTAAAGTTTAAATTATCACGAATAAATCTACAATATTTTTGAACGATATGAATACAAATTGATCAACGGCATTATGGCATTATATCTTAAAATGGTACTATTAGGTTTGGAGAATTCGAAAGAAATACGAGTCTTCTAGCCTCTAGCTAGGGAGAAAATTTGAAAGGCGGCATTAGTCTCACGTTTTCTTGATTTGATGCATTTTACGTTTCTAGTTTCTTCTACATGCATGCATACAGTGTCTTTATTAAGTAGTACAATCCAAATTAAATTATGGATCTCAAATTAGTCATTAGCTATCACGATCTAAAAACAGAAGAGGGCATTGCTCGTGACAAAATATTTCCATTCAAGGAACAATCCAATTCCTGAAGGGATTTGCAGTTTTTAGTAACAACACCTAAGATCAATGCCCACATTGTTGCATAGCATTCTTTAAGATATTGATCTAGTAGCTTCTTCTTTCTTTAGTCAGGTTTAATATATTCAACATGGACAAAGAACGACGGAAATAATCGTATTAAGGATTATTGTGAACGTACATTCTCCATCACTATGTTTATATTACGACTAGTAATAGTATGGTAGTATGAATGTAAACTCTTGTACACATCCGAACGGATTGAAAGTTTCGTGAAACAAAAAAAACAAAATTAACCTTGATATTTATAAGACTAGTAGAATACATGTGTGATCGTGATGAAATGAGAGGTGATGAATTTGTCCGAATCTTATAGTACGAGAGTAAATGAAATGGACTTATGAGGACAAAGTCGGTGCCTTACACTTACCAATTGTCTCCGTCTGATTTGAACCAATAGGCTAACGTTATTCACAACCCATATCTCTTCTCAAGTTCACAAAAACAAATATGTATTTTTAGCAACACCAAAAATATTATAATATATTTCTTCAAAGTACATTATGTAAATGGCCAAATTGCTGTGTTATGTTATAATACTATATACTTGCAATAGTATAATAATGTTGGACCCAGATTCCACACCTGGAATCTAGCCCGTAAGGGCCCATTACCTTGATCCAAGATTGAAGTCCAGGCCCACTCAAGCCCAGCAAGAAGACCTCGAGCCCACCAAGCGACTCCCTCGTAAGCCAGTTAACTGCCATCCGAGCTATTCCGGTCGACGTAAAGACGAGCTCCAGCTCGATCAAGGACCAGGTCGGCACTGCGAAGAAAGACGAAGTCAAAGAAGATCTCCTTCAAATCCGGTCTGGTCCGAGATCACCGGGATCGTTAGCTGCACGTGGCGAGATACGCGGAGGTGGATCGTAGCTGATTCTGGAGCTATAAAAGGAGCTTGACAGCAGTCGGATCAAGGGACACAATCTTCTTCCGATCACTTTAGACCTAATTACTATCATACTTTCCTTGTATTCACCTTTGAGCTTAGTTCTTTCTCTCTTCTGAGAATTCATTGTAACCATTTTCATTCGTTTAATACAATTCCGTTTAGCCAAATCCTTGCTTACGATTCATTCGACTTACATCAAAATCTAGCCCTAAATCTCCCTAAGTTTCTTCCTTGCAAAACCTATAAATTTCGAGTGTGGTTTTCATAGCCCACATTTTGGCGCCGACTGTGGGGAGGAAACATAGATTTTCTTACACAAGGGTCGAACCTAAGCCAGGTAAGAGCGAAAATGGATACTATCCGGTCGCAAACCCAGGGATCTAACTCCCAAAACTCGATCCCATCGGATCAGATCACCTCGAACATCAGTAGCAGCCAAACTGCTGATGCATCGAGAGATCAGATCGCGTCGAATGTTGGTAGCCGCCAAACTGCCAACACTTCGAACACGCCGATCACATCTGCTACCGCCTCCACTGGAGTGCAGCTTAGCACTCCACCTCGCGTGGAACCAGTGGTGATCAATCTCGCCACGCCGGTAGCAACCCCGAGCCCGATTCTACCGAATCTGGGTTCGCACACCATCGAGAGACCTCTCTCTCGAGTTTGGGTCAGATCGGAAGATCCCCCAACAACTGTGACTCCACAGAGTCGGACTATTCCTGTTCGACCTGCATCTGCGACGCAAACTCCTCCGCGAGCTAGTCCAGATGATCTGGCACAGATCAAACAGCTTCTCACCAACCTGGTAAACGGTCAGCGCGACCACGAAACTAGGCTGGAGAGACATGAGAGACGCCTCGCTGAATCTCGAAACATCACTAGCCCGCCTCCGCGGACTCAGCTCGATTTTTCGACGATCTACGCATCTGGCGTACCTCAGGCGCAATTCGTTACGCCTTCGCGACCTCAAGTCTCTCAGACTTTCGGTCCACCGCCGAGCTCGCCACCAGTTGGCATAAATAATACGAGCTCGCACCCAAGCGAGACGAGAGCTCAACCGAACGTTCCGCTCTCATCTCCACCCCCAGGGCCACCTGGTACCGATCCAGCTAGGCCTAGGTGGTTTGGCGCTTCAGCTTTTGCCTCGAGCTCGCAGGCAATGCCTCAGTTTGAGAATCAGCTAGGCGCGACATACGGTTCACAGCCCTCCGCAACAGCGCGAGAGCACGTGAACGGGAATTATCAACAATTCCCTAGCTCGAACGGTCAGCCCAATCGAGCTCAGTTCCAAGGAGCTAACGATTCCATGAATCAAGCTCCATTCTTTCCGATTCCAGCTAATCGGAATCCAGCTGATCCGCGTAACCTCGTCGACAGCGAATCTTTCGAAAGATTCCAAGATCGCACAGACCTCGCGTTTCAGCATATGAGCTCAATGTTTCATCAAGCAACGAGCTCAGCTCCTGATATCGACAGAGTGATTAAAGAGTCTAGACGAACTCCTTTTTCACTCAGGATCAAAAGTACCTATATCCGAGATACCAGCAAGCTGCGTATCCCAGAATACTCTGGTAACAGCGATCCGAGAGCTTACATGCGAGCTTTTAACCTCGTCGTATCTCGAGTTCCTTTCTCTCCAGAAGAGATAGAAGCAGCCTACTGCAGGCTCTTCGCTGAGAACCTGATCGGACCAGCTCAAGAATGGTTCTCAACGCTGGACGAAAACTCAATCGATAATTTCGACCAGCTCCAATCAGCCTTCCTAAAACAGTATTCGATCTTCATCGAATCTAAAATTACGGAAGCAGACCTTTGGAGACTTTCTCAAGGTCCAAAGGAATCACTTCGATCTTACATTGACAGATTCAAATCAGTCAAAGCTAAGATCACAAACCCTAATGAGGCAGTAGCTCTACTTGCCCTCAAAAACAACTTGTGGTACGAATCGAAATTTAGAGAAGAACTAACTGTTCGACCTACAATTTCACTAGATGACGCATTACATCGCGCATCAGCATTCGCAACTCTCGAGGAAGACACAGCTCTCCTCAGAGAAAAGTACCTCAAAGGGGAGCTCGCATATGCTCCACCAGGTGCTAAGAAAACTGCACCAGCTAAACCACCTTCGCAGAGTAAAGGACAACATTCCTACTCTATCGAAACTTCAGCTCCCATAAAGAGCTCGGAGGAAGAAGAGAAACACTGCGATATTCACAATACAAACGGCCATTCCACAGAGGAATGCCGTGCTAAAGGCAAAAAGTCTAGCAAAAAGAAGGGAAAAAGCAAAACAGCTGAAACCGCGGTTAAGGCCGAAAAGCCAAAACCCAAACCAGCTAAAGACTCCGACAACGCACCTCAGAAAAGAGAACGCGAAGTCGAGGTCGAAGCCCCCGATTCCCCTCCTTCTAACAGGAAAAGAATCGACCTAATCTTCGGAGAGCTCAGCCTTTGCGGCGGCTCAACGAGATCCGTGGTCACCCCCCCACCCGCTCCTAGAAAGGCTACGAGCTCTAGCTCACACAGACCTCCTAGACTTGTCGGGGGGATAGAGCATTCTTACAGAAGCTCGCCTGTTACATCACCTACCTCCAGACCCGATACTAAGAGCATTGCGATCTCTTGCTTACGCAGACTTCACAAGCTCTCGGGGGGAGTAGAGCCACCTACCCCTAAACGAATTGACTTCATTTGCGGTGGCTCGAAGATGTGCAAAGACTCGATTAACTCGATCAAAGCACATCAGCGACGGGTCGAGTCATCTGGACAACCACGTCCTCTAGACGGACCTGATCACGAAATCAAATTTCGAGAAAGCGAAACACTCGCACTCGATAAACCTCATGACGATGCACTCGTAATCGAGCTCGCCGTAGCCGGATTCGAGCTGACCAGAGTCATGATAGACACAGGAAGCTCTGTAGACGTGCTGTTCTACGATGCTTTCAAGCGAATGGGATTCGAAAACTCCGCACTCATAGGAGGCCGTACGCCCCTAACTGGGTTCGCAGGAGAAACGACCTATTCCATGGGAACTATCCAGCTCCCAATCAAAGCAGGTGGTATAACGAAAACAGTTGACTTTGTGGTCGTAGATCGCCCCGCGCCATTCAATGCCATTCTCGGCAGGCCGTGGCTCTACACCATGAAAGCAGTTGCATCCACTTACCACCAATGCGTCAAGTTCCCTACACCTTGGGGAACAAAAACAATTCGCGGTTGCCAACGAGCTTCCCGAGATTGCTATATGGGCAGCTACTTGCGAGCTGAAAAATCGCCAGTATAGCAATTACAGAAAGAAGAGGAGCTCGCGATTCGGCAGATCAAACATGGCAAAGATCCGACCGTCCGCGAACCTCGAAAAGACTTGGTCACTCAGGTTTGCATCGACGAAACCGACCCCGAAAGGCGCGTTGGTATCGGAATCGATCTCGCAAAACCTATCCGTGACGAGCTGATCGCCTTCCTAAAGGAAAACATCAGCACATTCGCATGGTCCACCGCGGACATGCCCGGGATTGACACTAGGATCACGTCTCACGAGCTGAACGTAGATCCCACGTTCAAACCCATGAAACAAAAACGTCGAAAACTCGGCCCAGATCGGGCTAAAGCAGTAAACGACGAAGTAGACCGACTACTCAAGGTAGGCTCGATCAGAGAGGTGAAATACCCCGACTGGCTAGCTAATCCTGTAGTTGTCAAAAAGAAAAACGGAAAGTGGAGAGTCTGTATCGATTTCACAGACCTTAATAAAGCTTGTCCAAAAGACAGCTATCCACTTCCTCATATAGATCGCTTGGTCGAAGCTACGGCTGGTCACCAGCTCCTATCCTTCATGGATGCGTTTTCTGGGTATAATCAAATCAAGATGAACCCAGAAGATCAGGAGAAAACAGCTTTCATAACAGACCGAGGTACTTACTGCTACAAAGTAATGCCATTCGGGCTAAAAAACGCGGGAGCTACATATCAGCGCCTCGTAAACAAAATGTTTGCCGATCAGCTCGGTAAAACAATGGAGGTGTACATAGACGATATGCTGGTCAAATCCTCTAGGGAAACAGACCACGTCGCACAGCTCCGGGTATGCTTCTCCATACTTAACAAGTACGGCATGAAGCTGAACCCGACTAAGTGTACATTCGGAGTTCCGTCTGGCGAGTTCCTCGGTTACCTAGTAACTGAACGCGGAATCGAGGCGAACCCGAAGCAAATCTCTGCCCTCTTAGATATGCCTTCTCCAGAAAATACTAGAGAAGTACAACGGTTAACCGGTCGAATAGCAGCCCTTAATAGGTTCATTTCCCGGTCAACCGACAAGTGTCTTCCATTTTACCAGCTCCTCCGAGGAAATAAAAAATTCCTCTGGGACGAAAAATGCGAAGAAGCTTTCAAACAGCTCAAAACTTACCTCAGCGAACCTCCTATACTGGCAAAACCAGTAGAAGGAGAACCGCTATACCTTTACATCGCGGTCTCGCCTGCAGCGGTCAGCGGGGTCTTAGTTCGTGAAGAGCTAAACGAACAAAGACCAATCTTTTACGTAAGTAAATCCCTGATTGATGCCGAGACTAGATACCCAGCTATGGAAAAACTTGCCTTAGCAATAGTAATGTCCGCTCGCAAGCTGCGACCTTACTTTCAATCACACACAATCGTGGTGATGACCTCGCAACCATTGCGAACTATGCTACATAGTCCAAGTCAATCTGGACGACTAGCTAAATGGGCTATCGAGCTCAGCGAATACGACATCGAATATCGAACTAGAACCTGTGCTAAAGCCCAGGTACTAGCTGATTTCATGATCGAGCTGGCACCGGAAGCCAATAACGATACCACCCTCTCTAAAGTTTGGACACTCTTCGTAGATGGAGCCTCGTCCAAACAAGGAGCTGGCGTCGGAATCAAACTCACATCTCCAACCGGAGAAGTGATCGAACAATCGTTCAGACTCGGATTCGTCGCCTCTAACAATGAGGCCGAATACGAGGCACTCATAGCCGGACTCCGACTCGCAATCGGGATCGGCGTGAATGAGATCAACGCATTCAGCGACTCCCAGCTCGTTACTAGCCAATACAGCGGCGAGTACGAAGCAAAAGAGGAGCGCATGGAAGCTTATCTCAAAGTAGTTCGAGATTTAGCTGGACAATTCAGTAAATTCGAACTAACTAGGGTGCCTAGGGGAGAGAACACTTCGGCTGACGCCTTAGCTGCTCTCGCCTCCACTTCGGACCCAACTGTAAGACGTGTGATCCCAGTCGAAGGCATAGATAAACCTAGCATCGACATCGCACTCAAGTCTGACAGTATAAACGCAATTACCTCGCGCCCGTCTACTCGTTCTCAAACTAGACAGTCCCAAGATCCGGGACCATCTAACCCGGAACCTGATTCCGAGGAAGAAGAACCTGACCAAGATAGGCAAAAAACAAGGTATATCGATTCGGACTCTTCGCAAAATACGCAAGAGTCCACGATCCATACCGTCCCATCTGCTATGGCGAACGAACTCACCTTAAAGGAAGAGTTCGCTGCGAGACCCGACTGGAGAACCCCTATCATGGAGTATATCCAGCTCGGAGCCGTCCCTAACGAAAAATGGGCATCTCGCAAGCTAAAAGCCCAAAGCTCGCATTATTGCATATGGAAGATAAGTCTACAAGCGAAGCCTTATCGAACCATATCTTAACGTGCATCCATGGCGAAGAAGCTTACACCGTAATGCACGAGACTCATCAAGGACCTTGCGGAAGTCATTCCGCAGGCCGAGCTCTCGTCATACGGATTAAAAAGCTAGGCTACTTCTGGCCAACGATGATAGAGACTGCGAACAGTACTAGGCGATGTGACAAATGCCAAAGGCACGCCCCAAGCATTCACGTCCCAGCTGAAACACTCTCATCGATCTCTTCACCTTATCCTTTTATGAGGTGGTCTATGGACATAATAGGACCTATGGTCTCTTCGGGACCAAAGCAATTCCAATACCTACTAGTCCTTACTGACTACTTCACTAAATGGATCGAGGCCAAACCATACCAACAAACGACCGAACTCGAGGTCCGGAAATTTATCTGGAAAGACATCATTTGTCGACACGGGCTCCCTTTCGAGATCGTGACAGATAACGGATCTCAGTTCATAGCTCGAACATTCAAAGACTTCTGCAAGAAGTGGAACATACGCATAACGTATTCCACACCTCGTTACCCTCAAGGGAACGGGCAAGCTGAAGCAACAAACAAAACCCTCTTGAGTAACCTCAAGAAACGACTCGACGCCCGTAAACATAGGTGGTCCGAAGAGCTCGCAGCAGTTCTTTGGGCTTGCCGAACTACACCTCACAAAGCTACTCATGAGACCCCGTTCTCATTAGCTTACGGGCTAGAGGCCGTCATCCCAACTGAAACTTCCGTTCCAAGTCTTCGCAGGATGCAATGTCCAGCGAACGTCGAGCTGAACGAAGAAATGTTGAGAGATCACCTTGACCTTATCGACGAACGTCGAGATCAAGCTCTGATCCGGATACAAAACTATCAACAGGCCGCAGCTCGCTATTACAACTCCAAGGTTAAACACCGAGATTTCATATAGGCGACATGGTTCTGAGAAAAGTACAAGACTATACCAAAGAGCGGTGCAGGGAAACTTGGGACCAATTGGGAAGGTCCCTACCTCATTACCGAAGTAGTTCGCGATGGCGTCTACAAGCTCACAAAAGTCAGAAACGGAATACCTGAACTAAGACCTTGGAATGCGATGAACCTGAAAAGGTACTATCACTGAAAAGGATCTAATCTGAGTATCTCCACCCCTCGAACTACGTTTAGGCTTGATCCTCCTTCCCTGGGGGTACGTAGGCAGCTCAACCACGAGTCCAGCCCCAATCCGAATTTACTTCGTTTTATTTGAGACGACCTCATTGGCCGGCCCTAAAACGGGCTCGATTTGTATCATCTCGAATATTATACTTAAATAAAATGTTTTCTATGTTTATCGCTACGAATTGCTCGAATCGACTCAGCAAGTCCTTAAGAAAATTCCGAATTACTTAAGCGTATCAATTTACGTCGAAAACGCCTGATCTTGCGTGACCTGAAAAGAAATCGAGCTCTTTCTCTCGTCTCAAAACAGATCGGAAGATCGAGATCACCTCGATATTCCCCTTTCAAACGAAGTGAGGTTCAGAGTCCACCTCTTTACCTTCAATTTCTTACTTCGCAAAAAACCAATCGAAGTCCGCAGCGTCCAAGCATCCAGCGTAGTGTTCTAGCAATCGTAGAACCGAAGACCCAGAGACAGCCCGAAATCTAACACGAAGCCGAGCCATCCAGACGGACCTAAAGTTCACGATTAGCTCGGAACACTATCGGCGAAGCGACAAAACCAAGACGAACTTCGAAAGGTAATAAATTCCATCTCCAAAAGCCGAATAAGAAACACCTCGATCGAAAGACGGGAAAACAACTCCGCAAAGCGCGAGCTACATCAGTTCGCCAAAGAGCTCGAAAAAGAATAAACACCACGTTTAGCTCGATCCGTGCGATCGACGAAAATCGGTAAAATTCGCCTAAGTGTTGAATCGATCTAATCGTCCCGAATTGGACTTGATTCGACCTAAAACTATGTTTAGCTCGTTCCACGCGATCAGCCAAAACTAGTAAAATTCGCCTAAGTGTTGAATCGATCTAATCGTCCCGAGTCGGACTCGATTCGACCTAAAACTACGTTTAGCTCGACACACGATCGGCAAAACTAGTAAAAATATTCTAAGTGTTGAATCAACCTAAACGGATCGATTCGACCTCCGACTAAAGTACATCTTGGCCCTGGTCTCTCGACCGGCCAAAACACTTAGTCAAAAAGCCTCAAAACATTTTGGCAAGTAAAACGCGAGCTAAAATGAAAGTTGCAAAACAATTTGAGCAAAAGCGCCTAAGGCAAAACGCCTAAGGCCAAAACATTAAAAGCCCCCGCGGGCAAACGAGTTTGTGGATAAAAGCCTTCCCAGGCACCAAATCCGAAACATAAAGCGTAAAAACCCCGCCGGGCAACCAAGTCTTAAAATAAATTGAAAAAGGAGTAGAGATAGAAAGAGGTCGACCAAGAGCTCAGTCCTCGACGGTCATCTCTTCATCTTCCTTCTCTTCCTCCTCGTTGCTTCCCTTCTCTTCGGCATTCGTCCCGAACGGGTTCAAGCCAACCGGGATGCTCGTCGATGGGTCGATCTCCATGCGCGCGACCGAGTCCTCCGAAACCACGGGAAGGTTAAACTTCCCGATCGAGAAATCGGAGACTTGGGCCGCCTTGGCTGCTTCGGCCACCTCATCTTCGAGCCCCTTCAACCTGGCGAGCTCTTCCTCCTGGTTGATCGCACCGGAGATCAGCGACGTAAGGAGATCGATGTTGGATTGGAGTTCGATCTGATCGCCCTCCTTCTCACCCTCCACCCTCTTCTCCTCGAACTTTGCCTTAGCCGATTCAAGCACTTCCCGATGCTTCGCGACCATCTCCCTCCGACCTGCGCGGTTGGCACGGCGAGCTATGTTGTCCTTCTCGGCGACGAGTACCTGGTTCTCCCGGCTAAGGCGAAGCGACTGCGTCAGCGCACTCGAGCTCTCCTTCTGCAAAGCCGCCATCTGCTCCTGATTCTGGGACAGCTGGCGCAAGAGATCGGCCTCCCTGGTCTCGAGCTCTTTCACACGACCCTCCTGCGAGGTGTGTTTCTTCAAGAGCTCACCCTGACGAGCTACCCGCTCGTTCGCCGCAGAGAGATCGGAGGTCAACTTGGCAACGAGCTCCTTCACCTGATCGAGCTCTTTCTGCTGAGGCGCGTCTCTGATCCTCGACTCCAGGCGGGACACCAACATGTTACGAGCTGCCACAGCCTAACAAAAACAAAAATTCAACCAAGGCCAAAACAACAACAAAGACTCTCGTCTAAAGTTTTGACTAGGGAAACAGTTCTACCCTCCCGCTCGCAGCGCACGTCGCGATGTAGAGCTCCTTCTCAGACATCTGGTTCAGGGACGGGAGCCGGCATCCGACGGGCTTGAAGTGGAGCTGAATGCGAGCTGTTCCCTCCTCGTCGTCCTGAACGGGGAAGCCTCTGGAGTTCTCGTACTGCCAGTAAAACGGCGGCTTTCCCCCGCTCCCGTTCGAGGCAGTCGGGCCGCCCTCGCGAGAACGAGTCTCTCCATCGTCACTCCGAGCTCGCTTCGGCGCTGCCTCGAGTGACCTTGATCCGAACTCCGAGTCCGATCGGAGCTCACATGAACCGTACTCGGGAGAGGAACGATTCTCCTTCAGCGGTCGCGTCGACCTGGTCAACCACCTGGTCGGCAAGGGCAGAAGACCCCGCCGTGGGCTTCGAAGCCATAGCCTCCTCCACCGCCGTTACGAACTCGCCGGCACGAACTCGACTTCCACCCGAGGAAGCGCCTTGGCACCCTTTGCGGTCCGGGATCTGAGAGGCTGACGACGAGGCATTTTCGGTCTGCGTGAGAGAGGAGGAACAGAAGAAGCGGAGCTAGAATCTTGCGCCGATCTAACCGGAAGATCAGCTGGAAAATTTATTAAACAGCTCGTTATAAAGAGTTCGTAAAATGAATTTCTAGTTGGTCCAAGGGAGATTATTACCTGGAGGAGGAGCAGGAGGAGAGCTGAGAACTCGACGGATCCGTTCCGGAGTAAAAGTATTCCAGTTCACCTTTTCCCTTCCGAGTCGCTCGACGAGGTAATCAATCCCCGGGTTGTTCGGTACTGGATCTACGACTGCAAAAGACAAAAAAAATCATCAATAAACGAGGTATTCCATAAGTCAAGCGAGGTATCGGCTATCCTAAACGGAAATCGGCCTAAGCTAACCAACGCTAGTCGCCCATCGTTCGGATTCGACCAAAGTCGAAGTCGCCCATCGTGGCCTCGCTGACCCGGAAGAAGAACACTCGTCACTCCACCCGCTATCCCTCTGCGGGGTGTTCGTGAATATTCGCCGATTCGGCCTCGGCGAGGAGTAAAACGACCCGGAAAGCCTGGTGTTGTTCTTCACCGAGAAAAGCTTTCTCAGATCTCGAACACCGAACGAGACGCCCTCTTCCCGAGCTCGAACCGCACATCCTATCACGTGGCGGACGAAGCTCGGGTGCATCTGTGGAAACGCCATCTTATAATGAGCGAGCGCTTCCATCAGAAAACGAGGGACCGGGAAAATCATCCCGGCGCTCCGCCAATACGACGTATAGGCGCAGCAAAACCCCGGACGGACATGCTCCGGGTCCTCTCCCTCAGCCGGGAGAACGAGTTCGATCTCATCCGGGATCCCGAAATCCTGCCGGAAGGTGTCGAGGCTTTCGGCGTCGAGCGTCGTCTCGGCGTGCGGCGTGAATTTCCCGTCACCGCCGAGGTCGACGGCCTTTCCCTTCTCTTGCTTGACGATTCTTCGGAGGCATGATAGTCGGAGGAAGAGACGGAGGAAAAAGAGGTTGAAAGAGTTTTTGGAGAAATCCGAAATCGAAACAACCTAAATGCTCGAAATTTGCAAAGGTTTGATAATTTTCAAGAAGTTGGAGTTATCTAATCTAAAAT